ATATAATTTTAAAGTATACGGATGTGTTCGTTTACAGAATCTACATCTAATAATATTTTCATGTAACTCCGTATACGTATGTGTTCGTTTACAGAATCTACATCTAATAATATTTTCATGTAACTCCGTATACGTATGTGTTCGTTTACAGAATCTATATATAATAATATTTTAATGTAACTCCGTATACGTATGTGTTCGTTTACAGAAGCTACATCTAATAATATTTTAATGTAACTCCGTATACGTATGTGTTCGTTTACAGAATCTATATATGATATTATTTTAATGTAACTCCGTATACGTATTTGTTCGTTTACAGAATCTACATACAATAATATTTTAATGTAACTTCGTATACGTATGTGTTCGTTAACAGAATCTATATATAATATAATTTTAATGTAACTCCGTATACGTATGTGTTCGTTTACAGAATCTACATATAATAATATATTCATGTAACTCCCATTTCTTAACTTTAAAGTGGTAAAATATAGATTACAAAAAAGATTTCTTAACTTTAAAGTGGTATTACCTATAACTGAACTATTGGAGGCACAAAAATAAAGACATTCCAATTTGATAACGTGAAACCCGTAAGGACTTTACACAAATGCTATAATTACCACAGCTTATCGCCTACTTATACATATTATATCATCATTACAACTATCTTATCAATAAATCTAAAGAGCAAGAACAAATTACTTTTTGTAATACTAAGGGGACGTTTAGGGCATTAAAATAATATTATATATAGATTCTGTAAACGAACACATACGTATACATAGCTTACAACAAAAGATTTCTTAACTTTAAAGTGGTAAATTATAGCTTACAACAAAAGATTTCTTAACTTTAAAGTGGTAAAATATAGCTTACAACAAAAGATTTCTTAACTTTAAAGTGGTAAATTATAGCTTACAACAAAAGATTTCTTAACTTTAAAGTGGTAAAATATAGCTTACAACAAAAGATTTCTTAACTTTAAAATGGTAAAATATAGCTTACAACAAAAGAGTTTCTTAACTTTAAAGTGGTAAATTATAGCTTACAACAAAAGATTTCTTAACTTTAAAGTGGTAAATTATAGCTTACAACAAAAATTTTACCACTTTAAAGTTAAGAAATCTTTTGTTGTAAGCTATAATTTACCACTTTAAAGTTAGGAAATCTTTTGTTGTAAGCTATAATTTACCACTTTGAGGTTAAAAATTATTTGTTGTAATCTATGTTTTACCACTTTAAGGTTAAGAAATGTTTTGTTGTAAGCAATATTTTAATTATTTTAATTGAGATGTTTGCTGAAGGAATATGATTAGGATGATGGCGTAATCATCTAGAAAGTTCATGCAATATGTAGAAATAAGAGTACATTATAAATATAAATTCAGTGAATTATTGTGAGTATTCAAGGGATGAGTCAGTTCAGTGTCAATAAGGTTATTCAGTATTAGGAATGGAGGCTGTCTTATCTGTTTAGAACAAACATAGATATAATTTAAGACAAGATCGATAAAGCAGTTGGAGATGTACAGAGAAATTACAACGACAAGATTGAAGAAGTTCAAAATATTATAACATTTAGGAAACAATTGGTAAATACAAAGATCAAACCTATATGGTCCAAACTGTTACCGCCATCTGAGAGCGCAGGACATTCCTAGACTACTTCAGCCACGACCCTACCAAACTCAGTTCAATAATTTAGCTGGCCAGTTAAACAACATTGCCCAATCGATAAATCCATGGTCTGTGATGGAAATATACCATAGGAGGTTCAAAGTGAACAGGCGGAATAATAGACAACCAGCTATTCATCTTGCTGCCTGTTTAAATGTAGCAGCTTTAAGGTCATTAAATAATCTTACATCTGAGAGCCATAACATAATTGTCTCATCCAACAGGGTTGTTGCATCACACCTGAAGGGAAGAAGAGACCTTAGCCCAACTTATGAAAGATTTCAAAAGACGTACCTAATTATTTTACACGGATATCCCCCGTGAAAATGGATTCAAAGGTGCCATAACAGACAATGATATACAAATTAGGCTGAACCAAAGTTGGTGTACATCTCTAGAGAAAGCTTTCTTTTGAAGTTCTAGATAAACATCGAAAGGCAATATTTGTAAGTTTTGGGGTCATCAGATCAAATAGTATTAAAGATGATCTAGATAAACTCAATGATTAGTTAGACGACTGATCACAAAGAATGGAGGAAATAGCCACAAGAAAATAGGTGATATTAGTATAAGTTGAAATGGCACGATACTTGAAACCAACGGTACTTGGTGAAACTCCATAATTAGAGAATTGAGGAGCTGTTGAAAATGTGAGAAACATGGTCATTAGAGCCAGAACTGTTAGAGAATTGAAGAGCTGTTGTAAATGTGAGAAACATGGTCATTTGAGCCAGAACTGTCAGAAATAATCAGTTGTTATTAAAATATATGTTAACATTATTGAGAAACGTCTTCCTTAGGGTTACCTTTCTAAGAATCTACCGTTTGTAAACAAGGCAGATCTTAATAATATTAACGTTACCTTTGTAAACAAGGCAGATCTTAATAATATTAACAGGCGGTAGGATCTTAGAAAGGTAACGTTAATATTATTAAGATCTGCCTTGTTTACAAACGGTAGATTCTTAGAAAGGTAATGTTAATATTATTAAGATCTGCCTTGTTTACAGGCGGTAGGATCTTAGAAAGGTAATGCTAATATTATTAAGATCTTCTTTGTTTACAAACGGTAGATTCTTAGAAAGGTAATGTTAATAGTATTGGGATCTGCCTTGGTTACAGGCGGTAGAATCTTAGAAAGTTAAAATTAATAGTATTAGGATCTGCCTTGTTTACAGACGGTAGGATCTTAGAAAGGTAAAATTAATAGTATTAGGATCTGCTTTGTTTACAGGTGGTAGGATCTTAGAAAGGTAATGTTAATATGATAGAGATCTGCCTTGTTTACAGACGTCAGATTCTTACGAAAGAAATGTTAATATCATTGAAATCAATCTTGTTTACAAATGGTTAATTTTATTTATACATAAAAATGAAATATTGACATTATTGAGATGTTATTTGGTTCCTGTTGAACATATTAACATACTTGACAACTAGCACACTCTTACCTGTGCATTGAGAAAGAGGAACACCATTTGTAGAAGGGTAAAAAGAGCCTGGAGAATTGGTTGAGTCATGCTGAGCTTGTCTACACAAGAAGCATCCTGAGTAAAATGAGTGGTGATTTCCAAACCAAGTAAAATGAGGGTTCCAAAACCAAATACTGCGGATTGTAAAGAATAACACAAAATAAAAATCAACAAAAGGATGTGAATGGAGTGTAAAGAGGATTTAACTTTTCGCAAACCTTACGGTCTTGGTATCATCAGAGAATGTGTTGTTCACCTTCTTACTTCTAAAGTTAATATAGAATATCCAGGTGTGATGGGGTTAATGAAGACAATCGTGTATAACAAAACTATTAGAGGTATCAACTTATAACTTAATGAAGACAATCGTGTATAACAAAACTACTAGAAGTATCAACTTATAACTTAATGAAGACAATCGTGTATAAC